GAGCCAGCCCTGTCCTCGAAGGCAACCCCAGAACCTACCGGATTTCATATGCAGCCCGTAGTGGTATAAGAACGAGAGTGCTCCTGAGCATGTGCAAAGAGCCTCCGCGGGCTCATGGAATAAGGAACCTTCTTCTCCCCACAGATCTGGGGCTTTTGCCGTTAGAATGGATATGGCCACTCTTAGGTCCTGTCACAAAGTAACGTGCCTCGATGATAACCTTCTTAAGAAACATTTGTTTCCTTGTCTGCAGTATGCAAAATGATAATTTTGTGTTTTCCCCAGATTGCTCAAGTTTGAGTGGCCAGTTCTTCCATTTGACCCCTGGTTTATTCTTACAGCAACCCTGTAGGGTCGTTTAAGCAGTGTTTGACTCACAGTCACTATAGGTTGGATTTGAATCTAGCGCTGGTTAGACATAACCACAAAACAGCTTTGGTTCTTATTCATCTTTTTTTTTTTAAATCTGAGCTTCCAGACGACAGGCTAAAATACATATTTACTGTCTTTAAATATTTGAAATAGACAAAGACACTATTCTAGGGTATGGACAAAATGCAGGGCCTCCCCACCACATGCCTGGCAACTTAGGGCAGATGCATTCTGTCAGGACGGAAAATGCTGATATTGGTTCTTGAAGGAGACAATATTGACTACACATGATACTTGTTCCTTCAGCAATGGAAAAATTGGTGCTTGGAAGGGTGAGAGGAAAGGGCCCTCTGTCTTGTGGGACAATATTGTATATAAAAAGCTCAGAATCTGCAATGCAGAGATGCAAGACTTTTCCAAGTCAGATCAAACATTCCTGGTGCACCACATTTCTGCTCTACTTATGACTTAGGCCCCTTATTCGAAGGACACTAAGGAACCTTTCTTCACCAGTCAAGTCTTAATCTGTGTGGTTGTTGTAGGTTTTTCAGGCTTTTTGATCAAGTCTTAATCTCTTTGGTTGTTGTAGGTTTTTCAGGCTTTTTGGCGGTGGAGGTTTTTCTGTGTTCTAACTCCTGTCCTCTGAAGATGCCTGCCACAGAGACTGGCGAAATGTTAGGAAGAAAAACCTCCAGAACAGGGCCAAACAGCTGGGGAAAACCTACAACAACCATTAGATTCCAGCGGTGAAAGCCTTGGAGAACACTTAATCTGTTTATCTGTGCTTAGAGGTGATGTCATCTATCAACAACTTTTCAACAACTCTTACCCTTAAGATATGTATGTCACCCCATCCAAAGGATTAAGATCCTTTAATCACCATTTATAAGCCAAGTTGAATCCACCAATTATCTTTTCTCCCCCCCATTCCCCCCCCCATGGTTTTGTGTGTGTATGAGGTATCTATGTTGCCTGAGGATAGACTCCATGTTTATGAAGGAATGAATGGGCTACAGTCCAGAAAAGGGCATGCTTGATCGTCTTTAAGGTTTTAGAAGTCTCTTCCTTGATTTTCCTGAAACAAACAAACAAACATGCCCACTTTGTGGAAGCCGGGAAATCCTTCCTCCCATTTGCCACAATCCCTGGTCCCTAAAAGCCCATTTCCTCAGAAAACAAGACACCCTAGGCAAGCAAGAACATTGACTATTTGGCTTTTTTCAGTCTTTACAGAGAAGGTGGTCATTTACTCAGTATATGTTTGATGAGAAACTAGAACAATTGTTCTTATTTCCCCCAATGCTAATACTATGTTTCAAGCATACATTTTGTTTAGTATTTTTGTGGTAGGAATACTTTTATTTTAAAATCAACAGTAACCTTTAATTAAAAAAATACACCTGTTCCCATTCCCATATTGGTTTGTCTAAAATGTAAGAGACTCAATTTTTCCCTTAAGTATCCTGATCCCTTGTATTTATATCAAACTTTTCCCCAGGTGACCTCTCTGTTATCAAACCACTTCCACACTCCAGTTCAAAGTTGTCCTGCCGCTCAGGAAGCATTTGGGCAACTTCTTCGTCTGATGGATTGTCTCATGTTGGTTACGGTTGGAGTTTTGGCTGAAGCCCTTTCCGCACAGCCTACATTTGTAGGGCCTCTCTCCTGTGTGGATTCTCTGATGCTCAGTGAGAACAGAACTGCGTGTAAAACTCTTCCCACACTTCATGCACGTGTAGGGCTTCTCACCTGTGTGGGTGATATGGTGCCGGATAAAATCTGTGCTGCGTGCAAAGCCTTTCCCACACTCAGGGCACTTGTAGGGCTTCTCAATGAGGTTGCTTTGTTTATGTTTCACCACCACCTTTGAACTCCAAGAAACTCCCCCAAACCCTAGCACAGGTCCCAAACCATCTTCAGTTCTCAGTGGGCTTTTAGAGATGGGCTTCTGATTTTTAGTCCTAGTCTGATTCTGGCCCCAGGGTTCTGAGTTGCCCATCTTCCCATGAGTCCTCTCGTGCTGGTTACGGTTGGAGCTTTGGCTAAACCCTTGCCCGCAATGGCTACATTTGTACGGTTTTTCACCAGTGTGGACTCTTTGGTGTTCAAGAAGGATTGAACTCCGGCTGAAGCTCTTTCCACAGTCCAGACACAAGTAAGGCCTTTCTCCAGTGTGGGTCCTCTGATGCCTTAAGAGATCTGTGCTTCGGTGGTAGTTTTTCCCACAATCAGAACATTTGTAGGATTTAGTCTTGCCATGCAGAGACTCTGTGAGGTCCTTAAACTCCCTTTCATAGAGGACCACCTGGTCTTTTGCTGAGTCACCACGTAGGATCCCCTGATTTCCACTCCTGTTGGGGCTATTTGCAGACATACCATGTGGCTCCACACCATTTCTTTCTGATTTTCTCAATCTATTCTTGCTTTCTGTTGAGAGACAGAATCCAGTAGGGTTTATTCGTCCTCTGGATACAAAGGCAATTAGTCACTAAACCAAAGACTGCTTAAGCCAGGGATGAGAAACCTCAGACACAGGAGCTGAAAGAAGTTCTCCTGAGATTTCAGCTTGGCCCTCGGGACTTCTTTATAAAACCATCTGTTTGATTACAAGGTTTGATAGTACTATAATTATAATTAACTATAAAGAATAATATTTTAGTATTATGACCAGTGATACGCATCTCCTAAGTTTATTAACTGGTAGTAAAAGCTTGAAACTAAAACAGATTGTTATCTTTGTCCCATCTTTTTGACTTTGATCTGGCCTCTCTCTCTGAAATTGAATCTGAACCTTGGGGGAAAGAGGCTCCCCAGAATTAATTTAATTCAAGAATTAAACTTGAAGCCTTCAAAACAAAACCCTATCCCTCCTCCTACACAGGGGCTAGGAAAGAGGCAAATCCAACCATTCTGCACCCTCTCTCTCTTTATAATGGTCTTGCTTATATGCACTCTTTTGCTGTATTCCAAGTGTTATGAGAGTCAGGTTAAGATGCCTGAGATGGGGAATCTCCCTGGGATAGTTGCAGCCTTCCCCTAACCCCGCTCTCTCTGCTTATGTCAGACTATCACCTCCCATTGTCAGGCAGTAAACTGTCTGGGAAGGATGGGAGCAGGAGGCCAACGTAGAGGGCACTGGAGCTGATGGGAATAAAGAATTCATGCATTTGAAGTAGTAGATTGTAATTCATAAAAGTTCCTGCTGAGCCAAATCTGTTAATCTTGAAAGGCACCACTCTTGGGAAGTGACAAGAAATAATTTATCGTTTGAGAACTCTCCAACTGCATTCCTATAAACAGGGCTATGTGGCTATTAATACATGCCTCAGATTATTATATGATAGCCCTCATTCTACACCATGTGTGTTCTTTCTCTCTGTGTCTTATTTAGGAACCCTTTCTCCCAGAGAGAGAGAGAAAGAGAAAGGGAGAGAGATCACTCCTAGATATTTTTGCTACTCGACTATAGATGGTGCATTGAAACATTACGGGAGAGGTTACTGGATCTTGGATTTTTAATCAGGACCCCCTATATCTCTCTAGTCTACAGGCTCACCTGGCAGTAGCACCTGGGATTTTTCAGCAGGGATGGCAAGAGGCAAAAGGAAGTAGACGGACCCGTCGGGGGGGGCCTCCGAAGCACAAGGTGGAGAAGGCGGCAGCGGCAGCAATGGGAACTCCAGCTGCCATCGCAAGGGCTGCAAAAAGAGGAGGGGCAGCACAAGGCAGGAGGGGAACCTGCACTTTGATCGCCGAGGAGTTTTCCCACTAGAAAGACAAAGCGCAAGGAAGTATGGGAAAGGGAGTAGGCGCCGCAGAGCACCCTGGGAGGCGTAGTTTCCCATACTGGCCAAGGGCTGCCTCTAAGAATCAAGAACGGGTGGAGAGGAAAGGCAGGGGTTGGGGAGGCGATTGAATAATAAAGCAAATTCCTAATGGGGGAAGAGCCAGTCACTACACATTTATTTCATAGCGTGCAAAAGTTACTTTTGGGTTACAGTTCCCGGCAGGCGGGGTCGTGTGGGACTCATAACACCCAACGTTGCTAATGTTTTAATCTTTATAGAAAATAAAGAGTGTTCGCAAAAGGAAAGCCTAAGGCTTCGACTAGGAGATTGAAAGTCGAGCATATCCTTATACCCTTAGAGTTTAATACTTGAGAACCATATCAAACTGTATATTCTCGAAGGCTTTCACGGCCGGGATCCGATGCTTGCTGTAGCTTTTTCGGGCTGTTTGGCCGTGTTCTTAAGGTTTTTCTTCCTAACGTTTCGCCAGTCTCTGTGGCCGGCATCTTCAGAGGACTGGAGTCAGAACTCTGTGCTCTGGTGTAGTTTGTGGGATATCAAACCACTTCTTCGGTTCCAGCGGGTTTTTTGTTTTGTTTTTTGCTGTATTGCACGTAAGAAGAATTTGGGTTCTTCCAAGTGTTGGGTTGCACTCACTCCCAATATTTTTTTTAAAAACGATTTTTATTTATAATATTTCTTTGGGGTTAGGATTTAATTCCAAAAGAGATGAACCTCTCGCAGCAATCGCGAATAAAATGCCAGGGATATTCCAAAGGCAGAGAGGAAATAATAGCCCAATATCGCACCTGCTAATCTTTATTTCACGCGACGCTCCATCGCGCCAAGGCGGTCCCTTTAAATTTTCCATTTTCTCGCCCTCCCCTCCAATCGTGGCGCCCTTAACGGCTCCACCTAGGATCTGCCCTCAGTCAAAATGGTCACTTTTGTTGTTGTTGTCCTCGCGAGGGTTGCCCTTACCCAAGATGGCAAGTTTCTTCACTTCAGCGGGCGGCTCTTGTACCCTTACCTAAAAGGGCGCCCAGAGCGCTTGCCTTGCAACGCAGCTAGTTGACGATATATTTTTTTGCTCCCTTTTTTTGCCCTAAGTAGTGATGGCGACCCTTTCGCCATCCAACCTCGGCAAAGAAGCTTCGTGTCTATTGGTTGGGGGCAAAAGCAAGGCGCAACCCTATTGGACGGGCTGAGTCACGAGAAGGCTCGGGGTAGTGTCCCGGAGTTAGTTGGCGGAGGACTGGGGGGGGTGGAAGGAGTGTTAGGAAGGTGTGAAGGCAAGAGGAGAAGGGGACGACCGAGGATGAGATGGCTGGACAGTGTCTGCGAAGCAACCTACATGAACCTGACACAACTCCGCGAGGCAGTAGAAGACAGGAGGGCCTGGCGTGCTCTGGTCCATGGGGTCATGAAGAGTCGGACACTGCCACATGCTACCAGTTGGACTGTAATGGACTCTTCACATTATCAAGGGATATTTGTGCTTTCTGCATCATCCCACTATGTCCTGCCCACATTAGTGCCCTTAATATTACTCATTTACCCATTTTCGGGGCTCTGGTATTTATATGGGTTTTGGGATGTAGAATTCAGCACACAAAAAAAGAGAGGGCAGGATGGGCGTGGAGATCCGTGCGGCCGTTGGGAAGCGCATCGGGCGTTACCTGAGGAGTTGCTGTGGGTGAAGGTGGGTCTCAGCCAAGAGAGAGGTTTGGGGTGGGGAGAGGAGGGCGCTTGAGTCGGGGAGAAGGGCGACAGGATCCCCCCTCCCCTCCCCAGGCATGGGCATCATTCTCTCGAGCCCCTGCACCTCAGCCAGGAGCGATCCTCCCGTCCGGCACCCGTTGCTGCTCTTCGCTCCAGATGCCCGGTGCAAAAAAGACGCTGGCCAGCAGCTGGAAGGAGCAACGAAAACCGCCTGATCTGGATCTGGATCTGACTCAGAGAAGGGACAGGGCTACTACCCCCAATGGGCAAGGTGGGGGCTCCGTGGCTAATCTTGCCTAAACTGCCGCCTCCCGCCCCCTTCCCCCAGGTAACACTATAAGAAAGGGTGAGCTGGTAGGAGGAAGAACTGGGGCAAGGAGATGCGGGGAGGGGGGGCGCGCACGGAATAAATGGGAGCACTTGATACTTACAGATTAGGGGGATGTGGGTAGCAGGTCACCTCCGAGAGAAGAAGAAATGTTTATGATGCTAAATTTTGAAGCAGCATGATTGGACTTGGGGCCTGGCAGGTGAGGAAATGATTAGTTTTTGCATTGCAAAAGATGGCAGTATAGAGGTGGAGTTGCTTTCAGGAGCTGGAAAATGGATAGAGGTTATACAGCCTTTGAACTTGGATTTACTCTATAAGCTGTGAAACTGTGTGACTGGGTAGAGACAGAGCATAGGAAAATTTATCCTTTGTACTCGCATCTACAAATCACATCCAAATCCTTGGCTAGGAGATCCCTAGAGTTCTAATCCCCAAAATAACTTTTCTCATGCTTTGGCTTGATAAAGGAGAGATGGGGTATAATTTCCCCCACACTTTTTCTCTAAAATTCATTTCATTTCCAGGGAAATGGTACTGAACCAGCACTAAAACTGATATTAGGACAGATCTTTTAAATTATATTTTACTCAGATTTAGTATGATTGGCACTTCCCCCCCATCCCTAGTTGTTGTTGTTTAGTCGTTAAGTCGTGTCCGACTCTTCGTGACCCCATGGATCAGAGCACACCAGGCCCTCCTGTCTTCCACTGCCTCCTGGAGTTGGGTCAAATTCATGTTGGTATCTTTGATGACGCTGTCCAACCATCTCGTCCTCTGTCATCCCCTTCTCCTCTTGCCTTCACACTTTCCCAATATCAGGGTCTTTTCCAGGGAGTCTTCTCTTCTCATGAGATGGCCAAAGTATTGGAGCCTCAGCTTCAGGATCTGTCCTTCCAGTGAGCACTCAGGGTTGA